TGTTATATTGAAAGTATTTATGTGATTGGATACATTTGAAAACTCGTCAATTTCGTTCAAACTCTGTGCTTAATCTCTCCATTCCGATGAAAAGCTCAATATTATATTGAATTATTTTACGTTTTCGACGCGGAATATAGCAAATCAAGTATTTATTTGATTATAATTAATCAGCCAAAAACGCAAACCAACTTATAATTCAACAGTAAAGACAACGCCATGTAAATTTACCCTTTATTCTTGAATTCTTAAAGTTTTTGAACTAATTAGATTAGAGTTTTCAAGGAAGATTTAGTTTAATACACTCAGCGTTTTTATTTGCTTCTAAATTATGAGAAGTAATCATTTATAACTGAAGTTTTACTCAATATATGTTGGAGCTGCTTCAAAAATTATTGCAATTGCTGCATCTCAATATTTCTTCATCTGCTGCTGCTGCCTATACAAGATTGGCGATGCATCATCTTAATTAAATTCCTGTTAATGTTTGATAATAATTTTTGATGAAAATAGTGGTTCTCTGCACCTTATGAAAAAAGTTGCATAGGCTTCACTCGGTTTTTGTATTCCTGCAACTCCAAATACTGCCCAATTTGCTTGTTCAAATACCATTTAATATATCTGATGATAGATTGCATAAGTATATTATTTTTTCGTAAAACACGCCATTATGATTATTCCTTCCCTGAGTAAAACCTGCGACTGATTCAGACATTAACCGTGAATTTGAAGGGAAATTTTCGCATTGGGATGGCCGCGTTATTTCCCTGCTAACTAATTCTGGTTCTGCAAGCCAGCTGCTGTCATCCTGACACTCGCCAGCCACCTGCCAACTGGACTACTCCTGGCGCTCCATGAGAGACGCTTGACTCGTGTCGCCAGAACAGGTTACTCCTGTCAACAGAAATGTTGGCGCTAGCGAGTAGAAATTCAGAGCTTTAATGGCAATTGCTGAATACTGCGAGTTGGAGTAGACAAGCGATGCTAGAAATGTTGACAACAGCGAGTTGGAGTGACGACACTTGACACTAGAAATGTTGACTACAGTGAGTAGAGTGACGACGTATGACGCTAGAAATGTTGACAACAGCGAGACGAAGAAGTAACGACACTTGACACTATAGAAATGTTGACAGTAGAGAGTTGGAGTGACTCATGACACTACAATGCTAACGACGTTCAGAAGTGAGCCTATCACCTGAGAAGCTGGTCCCTATAGATTTAGAGATTTATACGCGTGCGATTAATGACCAAAGAATACGTTGATTTAAATTATCAAAGAGTCGGACAATTCTCCAGATGACGTTGGTAGATCGAAAGGCATATATCAGGAAGCAGTTTTAGTTTATTAACGACGTTTCGACTGTATCAAACATTCATTTTCAAGTTACAACAAGCATTAAATATTGAAATTTTGGTGGAAATAAGTACATAATAAACGTTATTGGAAACTAAAGTAAATTTTTTAATAAGAAAAATCACTCTGAAAACCATTTCAAAGTTCAGCCAAATCCGGTAGTTAAGAAAGAGGTAGCAGGCGTCCAATCCGCAGAGACGATGAGGCTAGCCACATTCGGTCGATTGATGTCAGGCCACTGCTTGATGACAATGCTGGTGTGTTCCTTCAGCACTATGCGAGCGACGGTCTGGTTGTGTGATTGTCGCGTGTGGTTCACTTAATTGCTCTGCGAGTTGGAGGTAGCTAATGAGACAGCGTCTTGGTGTCCTTGTTGTTGATCCAAAGTGTCCGATGTAGTCCAAAAGATGATTTAGAGATGTAAACGTTTTCATTAAAAGTTTTAATTCCAGATGCCAGAATCTGCCATTATATAATTCGTGCATAGCTATTCATTTCTATGTTGTGTTTAGTTCTATTCTGTCATACAAAGTAACTCAAATCAATATCATGCCATCCGTAGAGTTTAGCTACCATTTAGAATAGAATAGAAGTGTCGGCGTTGAAGACATAGGCCCATTTGCTCTGATGTTTCGGTGACGTGGGTTGTTAATCAAGCGTTTGCGAAAGCGTTGTATTTTACACTAAGATAATCACTAGATTTTGTAACTATGTTTAATACATTTTATTGGATGTGAATTTATATTTTCCATAGTGCATATTTTCCTTGAACACATGAAGTCTGACTAACATAACCTGAGTCTGTGGGTGAATCAATGTGAATCAATATGTATCGTTTAGAGATGCATACGCGTTATTTGTTTTCATTATTAGTGAATTCTTGCCTGCTAATACCAATTTTTTAGTAAGATTTCAGTCTTTCTTCCTACCCAGAATTTGGACGAAAAGGGCCTACCGGTGACATACTTGTTATATAATTAATTACGTAAATACTGCGACTTCCTATAAAATCTACTGCAAGCTGCGGTTATCCTGATTATTTCTTTTAATTTATATTGAGACAAAATTTGATCGACTAGGTATATTTTTTAAAAAATCTTCGACTTCATCGCAAGTAAGAAAATAAATAAATACACTCGATGCGTAATAAAATCTTTTGCAACATCCCCTAAAACGTACTTGAATTTAGCAATTATTATCCCGAAAAAAATTGAGCACCATACCTCTACGCCTTCACGGGTGCTCAGCATGGAAGTAATTCATAAAGCGTCGGCCATTTTGTCATTGTTATCAATGTGCACTTGAAGATAAGCCCATCTGATGGCGTGTGCACAACAACTTAAATTCAATAGAACTGTTCACACTTGCTGCAACTCAGGCTGTGTGCCGCCCTTATCAGATAAGAGAGCGCGCTGCCAAATGCAAGTCTCGCTCTTAAGTTAATGTGTCGGACTGATAGCCGCTATCTTTAGTAGGCCTTACGCCATAGGCAGTGGTTGAATTGAAAATCAAGACAATCATTGACTTGAACTGAGTGCAGTTTCGTGATAAACGCTGGCCAATCAAACACTTACTTAGAGGCAAATCTTTTTACTTTATCAGAGTGCTATGACAAGTCTTGATTATGGAGCAAAGAGTTGTACTAATAAGAGCGTGAATTACCTTATATAATCAGAAGGTGACGATATGCCGGAATCTGAGGGTTATAAAATGGATATATCAGAGTGCAACGATATGCCTTAATTAGAAGGTGAGAGCATGCTTGGATTGGATAACGGTTCGCTTAAAATAGTGGATAATAATATGTTTGAACTAGAAGAAAATTAAATGCTTGGATTCAATTGTAATGATAAGCTTAAATCTAGGGGGAAATGGCATGCTTTAATCCGGAAGTAATGGCATGCTTGAATCTGAAGGTAATAACATGCTGAAATGTAGGGGATATGACGTACTGGCCGCTAAGATCAGATAACACTGAGATGCTCCAATGATGGATTATTTATTAACATGCTGAAGCGAAGGTTTCTGCAATTTGAATCGAAGTATTATGAAGATGTTGTCATCAGAGCATGATGTAACATACTGGCAACGTATGTAAACACATAATAATCCACGTATTATATTAAATCCATGTTAACAATTAATTACTGCCTTGCCCCAGTCCAGCACCTCCGTATCCAAGATACCAGTCTCAACACCAGCAAGCGTTTCAGCGCCGCTACCGCAGGTCGGCTGCCTGTTCCTCTCAAGCTTAAGCATCGTCGGCGTCATTTTATTTTGTTATGTTTTTCTTTACAAATACATTTATCCGTTCTTTCTTTCTAATTCGTCTCCAATTTTTCGTGCCATTCATACTCACGACCGTCAAGCCATTCATCATTTATTATTTTTTTACATCTGAATTTATTTAAACGATTTTGGAAAAGTTGTGAATGATAAATTCATTAATGAATTATTGTTTCATGGTTCTCATGAATGACATCTCGACCTGCTGAGTTCAGCTCAAATTTTCAATCGGGAATATAAGAGCAAGCTTTGAAACGCCGAATCGGCTGACGACTGTCATATCATTACCCCCTGTCTTGCTGTCAGTAGATGGTAATAGTACTCCTGTCAATCACTTTGACACGCGCTTGTCCGAATAGACGGCTTTGTCACTCTCATTATGATGACTTTTTTTGTTAGAAAAGACAAGAAGCTCTGCCCTGAACTGTACCGATCGCGATACCATGCAGCCATAAGTGTGAGATTCAAGTGACACATGAAATGATTTCGATATGATACTAGCCGTGAAGCGAAGGGCAAGAGAATTAGGAATAACTGAATAAGGTTACAATTATACTAAATTCCGATGCAAATCACTAAGTTAAATTTTTTGGTCAAAAATCCTCGTGCCGCATGTGAAATCAACCCTTTCAGCACAAATTAACAATTTTTCGGACGTTGAAGAAAAATTTATTGAAACATGTCTGAAATCTCTTCACTTACCAGAAGCGGAAAGGCTTGATCGCAAATCCTTTTCCTAACGTGATTTCACATTAAAGCAGACTTCGCTCAATGGAGTGCGAATCAGAAAATCTGGCTCCAGTCTGCAAACCAGAAATTCCATCCGAAAAATCACGGGAAATATTTTGGTCACAAACTGTAACGGCTTTCTATGTATGAAAATGGAAGAATTCGCTCACTTAATTTACGGGATTTCGATGACCTTCATTAAAAGAGGAGACTTCGGTCACGTACTCTACAGGATGTCTATAACAACCATCATTGTGACTTCGGCGGTATACTTGATAGGATTGCAATGACAACCATTATATGGAAGGATTAGGTTGGACGAGACTGTAGACAGGATTGGGACGACATCCACTATATGGTGTACTGTACAGGACTACAATGATAATCATTAAATTGAAGGCTCTGCTCCCAAACTATACACGATTTCGATAGCGGTGACTGATGTGTCATGTAGGCCTAAGTAGCAATTTTCACGGTTTGCTCATTAGGCGCTACCGCCGCTCTGCCGGGCCGTCACATCATGAAATAATAACGAGGAAACATGAAGCCTCGTAAATATCTTCTAATTGAAGAGCCCAGACCTAAATTGGTGGCTGTACAATAGGCCTATAACTCTTGCACTTTAAAAATGGCGCCGGTGTTTTATTGTTCGTCCGACGGCCTCAAACTTTTGGTGAATCTCACATCGCTGGAACGATCTGAGTGCGCTGTGTGCCTCAGTGCTGTGTGCCTCAGTGCTGTGTGCCTCAGTGCTGTGTGCCTCAGTGCTGTGTGCTTCAGTGCTGTGTGCTTCAGTGCTGTGTGCCTCAGTGCTGTGTCTCTCAGTGCTGTGTGCCTCAGTGCTATCTGTCTCAGCGCTGTGTGCCTCAGTGCTGTGTGTCTCAGCGCTGTGTGCCTCAGTGCTGTGTGCCTCAGTGCTGTGTGCCTCAGTGCTGTGTGCCTCAGCGCTGTGTGTCTCAGCGCTGTGTGCCTCAGTGCTGTGTGTCTCAGCGCTGTGTGTCTCAGCGCTGTGTGCCTCAGTGCTGTGTGCATCAGTGCTGTGTGCCTCAGTGCTGTGTACCTCAGTGCTGTGTGCATCAGTGCTGTGTGCATGACACTTTACAGGCGTGTTAAGAGCGGCTGGGGATTCCGGGCTCCAACAATAAAAGATGTTCATATCCTTTCCTCATAGCCGCGGGGAATCTAATTATTTACCTGTTCATACATCCCCATCCTCCCCGCGAGTTCTCATTAACATTAACAGCTTTTCCATTGGGCACACAAAAGCTTGCCGCCCCTCACAGGGAGGGAAGTGGGAGGATATCTTTACTTTCTTTCAGTGAAAAGATCCACTTTCTTTGAGTGAAAAGATTTGGTGCTTATTGGAATTTTTTTTTTGCGTCAGGAGTGATGGGGATGTTGCCTTTGTTTGTTGGGCGGGCTGGCCGGGGCTGGTCTTTGATGATGTTGTTCGTTAGCATCATTTGTGATGATGTAACTCGCGCTTGATGTTGTTCAATGGTGATGAAATCGACTGAGAAGTGATGAATGGAAAATAGATAGAATCGCGTGTGATTGTGTAGACTCGCAAGCGATTTTGATTAAAATGTGATTCTCATTACGAAACGTGATGTTGAATATATGTGATTCTGTTGAATGAAAAGGCTTGTTGTCTCAAAATTTACAAAAAACTGAATCTTATTAACAATCTTTTTGTTGATGTTGAATCGAATTAGTTTTAGATCTTGGCTCTATATCTCATTACCAATCTTCGTCTGAACCTCGGTTACGATTCTATGTCTGATTCTATTTAATTATTTTGTGTCTGAGTCTCTTTGTTCATTTTGTGTATGAATCTCCTTGTTGATGTTTACTTTGAATACATTCGATGATGTTTGCCTTAAATCTTTTCGATGATGTCAAAAGTAATCTGCAAATGAACAAAGATTCTACCATGCTTGAATTCAGTATCAGTATTTCGCCTGCTCCATCTCAGAAAGTGATACCGAATGAAATGTGACGAACGTTGAAGATCTGAAGGCAAATAGAATATGCAAGTGCGAGTAACTAAACAAGTTGCAAAGGAAACTTGAGCAAATTTAGTTTCAAATTTTTACTCCATCAACCTCTCATGTTCAACATTGACGCATCAAGGAATAAAATCTCTCGATGCCATTTAAATGAAAGTGAATATTTTTCAAAAATATATTATATTTGAACTATAGTATTAACAGTAAATCAGCAATGTTACAAATTATCTCGATCTCCTCTCCCCGGACTTAATTTATTTCTGTCCGAATCTTACCCGCAATTCTGGCCGAAACACTCGAATTTTCTTAAATTTTTTTAATAACATTACGTGATATCGTAGATTTCATTTAAAATAAATGACCTAATCCGAAAGCTCGTAAAGAAGATTCGTGCTGGTGTCACCGTCGCTGGAATATCTCAGAAAAGTTTTGAGTGGTCGCATAATAATTAGATTTCTGAATTAAAACTTGAGCATGAAAGTGTCAGAAACAGATGACAGGAGCGAACTCCAGCCCGCGCTACTGACCTAGTCTGGCGACTGAGACATGGCATCAAGTCCGGGCAACTGAGACTTGGCCTAATCTGGGGACTGAGACTTGGCCTAGTCTGGCGACTGAGACTTGACCTAGTCTGGCGACTGGGACTTGGCCTAGTCTGGCGACTTAGACTTGGCGTCAAGTCCGGGCAACTGGGACTAGTGGGAAGACTAGACACGGACTAGCATTGCGTGTGCAAAATGTGGAACTTGAGACTATTTGATAATTTGAATTCAGCGTATTTAATATGATAGAAATAACACTGAAGGAACCATAAAATATGGGGCTTTCTGATTTACTAAATTACTAGAAAAATCTAGGAATATAAAGAAAAAGATATACAAACACAATATTAAAAAACTCGAAGTACACAACATTAAAAAAATCGAAGTGAATGTAAGAAATACTGGTTTATCTCTACGCGGAGAACAAAGATTGGGCTGATGCCTCCCAACGAAAGATTAAAGCCTCGTTCTCTTTGAGCTCTGCTGAGGTTTTCAGGGTTAATTTATTGAGTTCCGAGGACAGCGAGCTCACCATCATTGTACAGAGTGCGAGTTCATTCTTACGCCATAAAATTATGAGGACTAGAAAACTTAATCTATACTCATACTCAACACAGAATAAACTACAAATAAAATTAGAAGATGGTATCTTAACAATTTCAACAGCAATTTGATCTATCGAAAATTTCTAAAAAGGAAAGTTAAAATATCAATATAATGATACGCAAGATCGAGCCGTATGGGAAACTCAGACTGTCGCGTGCAGCCCGCGGGCCGCATTATGTCCACCCCTGTTTTATTAAAACACTTCTCTTTAACTTCACTTCTTGTTTATTATCCGTCCACCTCGCTGACTTTATTTTCTCATAGTTACATCGTCACTCTATTTTCTCTTCACACCTTCAGCGTCCCGTGTTTCTTTGCACTCTTTCTTGCCTTCCTCGATCTTCCCTCCCTCGTTCTGCCCCATATACTCAATTCACTCTACTTCCCTCCAATTATCCTTCTTCCTCCTTCCCCATGCTCTTTTATCTCTCCCTTAACACTTCCTCACTATTGCAAAAAACTTTGAAATTCTTCTTGCCTGCTTATGCATCCTAATTTCATTAACTTTCTTCCCCTTCTGCTCTTTCATTTTTTCCAATATTCCTTCTTCATTCCCTCACATATCCTTTTCCCCCTCTCCCTTCTCTCTAACCCTCCAACCCCCCCCCCCCCCCCCCCCTCCACGTGGCACGGCTACTTAACCCGGCTCGTTTTTCCTTCCGACCCGCGCTGAGACTTAAATTTTATGCATAGAATTCTCAGCTTCGGCGCACACTTGCTACCCTGCAGCGATGTGGTCCTGTGGGTCTGCTGTGGACCTGTGGGTCTGTTGTGGACCTGCACTCCAGCTGTGGACCAGCAAATGATTAGTCCCCAGAAGGGACTTATCTCGAAGCGTGCGAGCGAAAGACTCTCTTATTTTTACTGATCATAAAATCGACGTAGAGCGTAAAATGCGCGTTAAAGCTCAAAATGGTCGGAGGAAATTTCCAAGTCCCTACGTAAACCTCGCAATGAAACTCATGAGAAACTTACGACCTTCAGCTCGACCTGCAACTCTAAAATGTTGACGAGTTCTACGACGATCGTAAATGAAGGCTTGACCTATACGCCGGTTGACTCACTATCATCATCACAACTACTGTGATTGTCAACATGTGTTTGATTGACTGCTTCAGTATGTTTTCATAAACTGGGGGGTTTACTTTCCTAAAATGAAGTTGATGATTATGAGGCTTCTCGAAATCGATTGGCAAGATTTTCATTTCGAATGAATGTATTGATTGGGTTTGTGAATTTATTACTTTGTATACGGGTAATTCTCGGACTTAACGTGTGAGATTCGTACGAATTCGTACCAATGTCATTTCGAGGCAAAAGATTCACATCGATCTTGCCTTCCATTGTTCTTCATGTGAGTTAGTCACTTTTTATCCTCGTTCAAGTGAACTGGGGGGAAACATGAGTGAACACACTTTTAATTTTTAATGCATTGATTAGTATAGGATCCTTGTATAGGCCCTAATACCATATAAAGATCGACTATATTACTACATTTCCTTCCCCATTTCTAGTAGAGCCAATGGGTATTGTGGAATAAAATTATACGTTCGAATCCATTTCTAAGAATTTTAACCCACTACTGCCGTATGTCACTCTCGGGGAACATAACTTTCAGCTTAAATTATACGTAAACTATTAAGTGTAGCACCCTGAGGACGTTTGTATGCAACAGAGAACATTTTAAAGTTGTACGTGCATGGCGGCAACCATCAGTGCAAGTCTTTGTGCGCTCACTAGAACCTAGCCATTTTGGGAAGTAGGCTTGTGACAATATTGCTCCGGTTACTCATGTCAGGCGGCAGAGGATTAAGATGATTAATTTACGGCATTCAAACTTGGGAATACTCTTCATTTGTAGGCTGACGTCCACGCATGAATACGTTCTCTTGCGGAGGATGAACGACACTATGTCTATTTTTATTCCCGTTGGCCCGCTGCGTTCCGACGCTTGGTTTCCGGACCGACTTGTACTTCTACGCTGCGTCCGGACGGAATTGCTGCGCTTGGCTACCGGAGTTACGGCCGAGAGAATGTCGTGTCGAGCCGTCTTGGTGGCGATCATGTCGGCTCATTGTCGCCTCTGACATTTTCGCGTCCTTAGGGAATTATTAAACAGCGGACTTTACTGCTCTCCTCGAATTCTGATTTTTGCTCAGTATGTTTTTTAATAATTTAGTTTCACTGTTTGTTTCTTTGTGGTGAGGACGATTTCACTCAATTATATGGCGAAAAATGAAAAATATCCATAAAAATTCCTTGTTTGTTGAACATTTTTATCGAGGCATGAATTTACGAAAAATTTAGCGAATGAAACGAAATAGCAAGAAAGAAAAAAATTTAATACAATGCCAATTCTAATTTTACATATCACACCCACTGCGGTAAATTTAGTGCAGATATTCTAGGTGCGTGACGGCGCTAATGCGGCGGTGACGCGGCTAAAGAGATCTGTGGAGCTGATCTAGAAATATGGGAGTAGCCGGCCGACCTCCCGCAGCTCTGGGTGATCTACGGCGCACATGACGTCTGATTTACGGGCGCTGGGTGTCAATTAACCCTTCAAGGCAGCAGGCTCGTGGTACTGTGTTCGTGTTACAGTTCTTGTGTGGTATGGTTAATTTAAAAACAGTCTTAATGATGTTTGAGCTGTTGATTCCTGTGGAACTGTCACGAATTTATCTTATTATTTTTTAAATAATTTCTTTTGTGATTAAATCACATGCAACATATTAATCATATCATAATGATGTCGGCGCTGAAGAATATTCCTGATGTGGCCTGTCGCCGATTCTTGTACTTTTCGTGACTTGTCCACAGGAGATCTAAAAACATGTCCGCCGACCGGATCTTTTCGAAACTGACGATAGTTTGAAATAGCTTTTAGAATTCCACCAGGTTCGATCTGGTGCTACGCATATCAAGGCAGAACATATAATTCTCCATAGCTTATCTAGTCTATTTATGAATGCGTTCATACTCGGAGCATCAACGATGTAATCGGGGAGGCTGTT